CCGACTCTTCTCTCTTTTTTTTTATCTTTCTCTTTCCTCTTCTGAGGCCATCCCCACCCAAAAATCCCCATCCCTCCCTTTCCTTCCGTTTCGCATTCATCCCCACCCGTGTCTTCTGTCGCACATATACCGCTATCCAAGACCCCAACATTTCTCTTTATTTTCCGAAGAATAAAACCCGAGTAAAATGGGTCCCGCAGAAAATAGTGAATATCTCACGAGCCCTATAAATTATTTTCCCAAAAAATCCATTAATATTCCACCCTCGACCGTAATGATCCATTTTCCTCACTGTGATAACTCGCCTGAGCTCCCAGATATTTTTCGGAAAATATCTCCGAAACAAATGAAAATATCACAATTTTCCTGATGATTTATTCTTTTAGTTACCAAAAAAAAATTTTTATGTGAAAAATCAACTAATTCACCCCCTCCACTTTGATTTTCTAGAAAAATACAATTCTTTAAAATTCTTAATAAAAACTGGATAACTAGAAGGGATGATGAGATGATATGAGATGATATGAGATTATGATCTTGACCGTGAGGTAAATAGTACTTTACCGCACGTAATTAAAACGAATTAATTATCAAATGAATTTTAATATGACACCTTCAGAAGGGGCGGGTAGTGGATCAGTGAATTTATTGAAGAACCTATTCTTCCCCATTAAAAAGATTTTGGCATCTCCCTCGGATCTCGAGTTCTCAAAGAAAAATTGTCTGACGGTCAGAATTCGCGCTTTCCCCTCGCTAATGAAGTAATTAATTGATTTAATCGCGATCCCATGGTGAATTGGTTAATCAGTAATTGGGGATCTGCTGGAATCGTGAGGAATATAATGAACAATGGGTTTGGATCTGTGGAGAAGTGAAAATGAGGCAGTTGTCATGAGGGGTGAAGCGTTACGTGAATCACCCCCTGGTGATGGGGAAGGGGTCCTCTTAATTCTCTATTCAGATACGAAGAGAAAAAAAAAAGCCCTCAGGCCATATGCAACAATGGGGAGTGCACAGAGAAAAAGGATAATACTCTCTCTCCTGACGTGTTACAGAATTCAGTAACTACATGAGTGGTTATTCCTCGAGGTGAAGTACATGGGAAATTACGTCGACACCTCGACAAATTGTTTTGACGTTAAAAAATCTGATTACCTCGCCTCACCATTTGAGAACCCATTGAGAGATATTCTAAATATAAAAAAAGGAAATCCATCTATCCTTCAAATCCCCAAACATTATTTACCAAGATATTTTTTTTTATTGTTGATGATATTATTATTATCACATTAATTACTCTGTATCAAGATCTGATCAACAGACAATTGAAGAGTTTCGAATAATTTAGGGTTCGGAGGAGTCGTCAAATATTTTAATCAAGTAGAAAATTAAATTGTTGAATTTAATAAAAAATTGGTAAGTGATCGTTGAAATGTTTATAATTTTGAAATTTAATGAAATATCGAAATGGGAAAATGATGTTTCGGTTTCTGGTGAATAATAACTATTTAATCTTGGGGAGTAATTAAAAATGTGGAATGAGTGAGAAAAAATGAGTCGAGTGTGGAGAAGCATTCGCAGCACAATATCGAGCGACCCGCTCCAGTTTCAGTCTTCTATTTAAAAAATGGTAGCCCTCCACCCCATTTCTCGTACTTGAAAAGCACCCGTGAAGCTAAAAAACCCAGAGCACAAGAAATCCCGTGGAAGAACGTAAAGTGTCGCCGAGGGTGGAGAATCTCAACACTGGGGGAGAGAGAAAAAAAAAAACCCAGTGAAAAAAGAAAGGAAATGCCGGAAAAAAGCATCGCTGCTCTAAAAACGTGTACAAGGGCCTCGTAAATCGCACTGGGTCGCTTGCACGTCTGCATTACTCAGTAAAAAAACAACAGCAGGATATTAGTCTGAATCAGATTACACCACATGGACGGATTTATCGAGGTGAAGATAATGACGTACTATTTCCAAGAAAATGGGAAAAATCAGCGATTAAATGATAAAATGTATTGAAAAATTTGTGGAATTGATGAAATGAGAGTTTATCGAATAGAACGGAAGATAAAATAAAAAGGAAAGACAAAAGCCGAAGGTGAAAGTAAAAGAATTCTAATTTAATTGGTAAAAGTCATTTTTTTTTGAAAGAGATTTTTTTTCAACCCCTAGACTCTTTCTCTCCATTCGTGATTGCGCATTCGTTTCACAACCCTTGCAGCTTGGGAAACAGTTACCAAGGGGTGAAAATCTTTCAGAATCTCTGCGCATGGATCTGCATCGGTGAATTCCATCCCTCTATACCAGAAATTTCGGAGGGGAATGGAATATTCAACACATTGTCCAATTCCAAACTTTAATCGTTCCATGTCTCGGAACAATTATTCTTCCCGAAAAGCTGACTCCCCTATTCTGGGTTTAAATACTACTGCATTTATTGACCGAAACTTACGAGTCATCTGTTACGATTTGGGGGAGATAGATTATTTGGCAAACGGGGATGATTCGACAAAGCAAATGCAATTGTTCAAGATACGTGAGGAAATATATCTTTGTATTCTAATTATTTAATTACTATGTCTAATGAATTTAAAATAATTATTGATAATAATTTACAGCCCGAGAGACTGAAAAAATAATTACGCAATTGCCAACAAATTTAGTTCCCCAAATTTCTAGCTGAAGAATGAATAGAATTACTTGCAAAATAGTTTAAAGAAATTGTTCATTTCTTAGGAAAAGGATGAACTGAATTAATTTTTTTTTCAGAAAGAGGAATAATTAAAATGATTAATGAAAAACGCGAGGTGGGAACGCCGCCATTTTAAAGACCCGGTTACCATAGAAGGAGGGCTATCCAAGCAAAATGGCGTTCAGATTTCTCCGTCGGTTCGTATTTTTGGACGTTTATCTATAAATTTGTCAAGCCTTCTTTCATAAATATCCTCCGCATCCCAGAGCGTTTTTTAAAAATGTTTTATTTAGAAATATTTCTGAGACAATTCTATCTTAGGAACTTTTTTTTTTCGTCTAAAAAAAAAACCTAAAATCAAGAAAACGTCACCTCTAGCTAAGCAACAAAATACCGAAATAACCCGCAATTCCCCTCCATTGCCGTCATTAAAAACTTCATCGAAGATTCCATTAGCACCGACCCACTTCTGTCTACTTCCCCTGCCAACCCATATCCAATCATCATTGTCACCAAGCAAAAATACACCTCAATCCACCGACTGCACCAAATAACCCATAAATTGGCAGAGTAACAGACGTTAAATCAATAATTAAACAATTACCGCAGTAACCAAGAGGTACAGAGTAACAACTCGATTTATCACTCAACCGAGTTTTCGAGGAATATCTTGGTACCCGGGAGGGCAAGCAAAATTTTCATCAGTACCATCTCCATAGCTCTTCCTTCGCTCTACAAAAAAGTTAATAACAAAAATATCGCTATCTGCCTTAGATCCGAAGATATCCTCGAAAAACCCAGTAAATCACGTTGTTACCATGACTATTGAATTCTTCGTTATCTAGCAGTGGTATTTTACCTAATTTTGCATTGCACTCTTTTAACCATTACCACCCCCTCCTAGCCGTGCCCAGCTGTGCCCATTCGCCATGAGAGAGTGCCAGTTGGGCACGTAGACTTCGAGTATTCCCCGAGGCACGTGAATATCTCGAAAGTTCAATACAAATTCCGACTACTCCGACATCTCTACTCCCCTCAAAAAACCAAAATCCCTCGTCAACTCTGTCGACAAAACAGCAAGCAGAAGGTAAACATCATCATCAACAGAAGAACGCGAAAACCATCGTTATCGACCCCTTCAATCCAATTTTTCAGAGCCGTATAATTAAGGGAGGAATAATTAATTCTCTGGCCAAATGAATTTGATAATCATCTTTCAAAATTTAGAAACACGAATTTATCATTTCGGAACTGTCGGTTTACTTATAATTAATTATTTTTCATACGGCGTACAGTTGGCGTACAGCTGGTGGTGAGATTGATTATTGATCGGATTGATTAAATCGATTAAAAATCATTTGAGCCGGAAATAAATATTGATTCAAGGTGAATGATTATTTTTATGAATTGATTGGTGGATTCGCGATTTTTTTTTTGGTTTAAATCATTTTGCATTGGTTAAAAAAAAAATTAGGAAGTGCTATGATCGAATCAATGTAATTCGGAAGGGGAAATAAAAAATAAATGAGGAAAGGGGAATAAAAAATAATGGATTGGGGATCGAGAACGATGAACTGCGCAAGGGCCGATGGCCCCCACCCTTTTTCCAAGGCGAACAACTCTCACTCGAGCCCAAGAATATTTTTTCAATTCTTCCTTATGCAATTTTTGGTATATAGGTGGATGTATTGTAAAACATTGAAAATAATTCCCCGGAATGATGGGAAAATCGTTCTAAAGCCTGGAATCGATTTGAATGTTCTCCTTTTTCTCCGCAATTGATTGATCAATTTATTCGAGAAAGTAGAAATAATTATTTCGAAATGCCATAATAATTGTCTTCGAGGAAGGCATTCGTACTTTCTGCTGTTCTCCGCACTTTTCGAAAACGACCAAAGGCATTCGTGAAAGTAGAAGGGAAGATTTCTGCTGTCAGCAGAAATTAATCGAGCGAAAAGAGTTTTTACTATCCGAGTAACGAGATTCGATCACTCCAACACAATTTTTTAACTGATAATTATCTAAAATCGTTCATTTAAGAATTCTCTAAATAATAACAAACGGATCAGTTTCCCAGTCGACCTATCGACGAATATCTTCGAATCTGGAAGAGTTAGAAAAATTTTTTCGAAACCTTTTTTGTAGCTCTGGATGAGCTCTAAAAAAATGTTCTCACAAAAATTTCTGTGTCTCTTATAGATTATCAAATATTCATCGAAAACTCATCAGTCAGTCGAATCCGCTTGATCCTTCACTTCGTCGTGTTTGAAATCCCTTATTTAACCTTAAAATTGAGATAATTTTTGTGGTCACTCACCATTGGAAGGCGTTGAAGTGGAAGTAGACAAGACCCTGGCCATAGAGGAAGGATGCGTCCTTCCAGTGATCCCCTTTCAGTGCATAGAACTTCTGATACGCTGACATAGCTGTAAATAATAATAAAAGAACAATAAAATCGGCCCTTAAACGGTAAATAGCTTAAAAAATAATTCATACGAATTGATGATATTTTTGGTAATTGAAAACAATACCTTTCGCGTAATCCTCGAGGAGCAGATGAAAATGGCCGAGCTTGCAGTATGTTTTGGGGTCAATGCTGATGCCTTTATCCTCATCATCGTCTTTGGACTCGTCGTAACCGCCTTTAGTACTATCAGCCCTTCTTTTCTGCTTCTCAGACTGAGCCTGAACCAACATTCTCTCCAAATATTTTATTGCACGTACCACCAGGGATTTTTTCTTCGCTTGCTCGAGAGAATTCAGCTTCAAGAAGCCAAATTGTCGGCTGAAATTAATATCCAAATGATGATAATAATTCCCAATCATTCGAGAGCCCCTTTCCACTCCCAAAAAAAAATTTCTTCCATTATTTAAGATTATTTATATCCGATACAGTGAGCTGTCATTTTTTTCAAAACTCAAAATTTTTCTTTCTTTTTTTAAACCACACACTGTCCACGCAAATATTGAGTCATCTAAAATGATTGATTCTTCGAAATCAACACGAATTGACATGAAATAAAATTAATTGGGTATTAACATTTCACTGGTGAACATTCTCCTATTATTCATCCCTCGAGACGGGATATCTTCTGGGATAATCCCAAAATCGCTCGCATTATTCCCAGAAATTTTCAATAAAAAATAAAAAGGCAAAAGTGAATGTAGAACGCGAAAGGATGTCAGTAGGTCTGCACTACAGACGTATCAAATAGCCCGCCCATTTATTGTCAAAAAAACAGAGGTTAGATTGTCGAAATCCCTCGACTGACAACACAGAAGCGAAAGAATCCCCCTGACACCCTGGCCCCATCAAAAACTCGTTAAATTATCCCTTACAACAATTACCTGTCCAATTCCGAGAGGATCTGCAGCTCCTGGGGAGTGAGATTTATGTCGTCAGTTTCTTGGGCCATATTTTGTTCGTGTCAACCGATCGTACACACTCAAAGATCGGATAAACACATATTTGCAGATTCACTGTTGCATTCACCCCCGCAGCCACCGCAAACTCCAGATTATTTTCACACTTTAACACTCAACCATCACGACTCATTGTTACTACCCGATTGTTAACTCGAATCAATTTTTTTCGTTTGTTATTGTTTTTTTTTCCGCCTCTTTGGTACGCGAACCGCCGATCAGGTTAAACCAAAGCGAACCACGCGATTGACTATCATTCGGCGATTGGGGGGACACCAGCGAGAGTGAATATTCTTCGGGTTTTCCGCTTCGAAGAAATGGCGCTAGTGGTATCAATTACTGGAGGTCGCTGAGCGCGCCATTTTTGAAATTTCAATTACACTGGAAACATTTTGTACTCGCGTGAGATTTTCGAGTGATGGGGAATATTTTTGGAAAGTGAAAAAAGCGTGGCTATTTTACTCCATCCGTTCTCCATTTTTATGGTGTCCATATTAGCCGAGCTTCATTAATAAAAATTTGAAATAAAAAATATTTGAAAAAAACACAGATTCAGGTCTTTTGTTAGAAATCAAAACATTAGACACTTTTATTCCTTATGTATTTTTATTTTTCCAAAACATTTACCTTCAATTATTGTTTCATACTTATATCCACATCGAAAAAGATTGAAAAAATCTCTCCACCCCGAAAAAAAATCTCTTGATTTCACTCTTTGGTAATAAAATTTCCACCAAAGAATATCTACACATTTCTCCCAAAAATCTTTACAATATATGCTCAATTTATCTATCACTAATCAATCATTCATCAATAGCTTGAACAATTAATATTGGCAGTGATTGTCAGTTAAAAAAATATCTACATAATTTCCACCAACTTACAAAAAAAGAGAAATGAAAATCAAAAATAATAAACTCGCCCAATTAAATTTTTTTGGACGAGGTCAGATAAATTGTTGAATAAATTTTCATCCCAGAATTACTCCTGCCTCTCGATTCTCAGTTTCTTATGCCTGCACCTGCTCCGGAATTCTAGCCTGGGTTTTTTCAAGAGCCTAAGCTTCCTCACGATTTCAGGTCCCTTCCTGGTGACCTCAGGCGGCGGAGTGGTCAGTTGCTTATATCTGCTCGTAAAATGTGGCCTGAGATTTCTGGGACTGCTCATACAAACTTTATAAAGAATCTCCTTATGATAAACGCTCGTCTGCGGGAGTTTGTAATTCTCATCGACAGTATAAACAGTTGTCTCAAACTTATTAATAAAGAATTTACAATCAAATATGGAGAAGCACCCCCAGGCTCTCTCCAACGTCTGCACGAAGAGATCCTCCCAAGGCCAATTGAGCAAAAGAATCCAGGTATTAAATGGATCGTATGTCTTATCAAATTCATTGGCAATGAGTTGAAGCCTCTCCTCATGTGTCATTTGAAGAAGAAGAAAGCAGAAAATGTCACTGCATTTTTTACAATAAGTTGCATAGCAATATGGATAAGTGCACCTCCTCTCGAGGATGATCTCACACCCAGTGATGGCTTTCTTAGTTCTCTCCTCACAGCTCATCATATTCCAGAAGTACCTCACGGCGTGTTCATTACCTAAATAAACAGAAAGCTTGAACATGACAACAGCTATTGAGTCTCGTGAACTGCAGAGACGATTGACAGCTCTTCCATTTTTCATGAAGAGCTGTTGCTTGATATCTGGGACTTTGTCAATTATTGATTGCCAGTAGGCGACAAGACAGAAATCGTCGTCGATCGTTCCACTGATCTTCGATATTGTTTTCTGTTTGGATTCCGGGGATCTCTGAGCCCACAAATTCTTGGCGTAGTCCTCCAGGCAGTAGTTGCACGCCTCGAACCACATGAAGTAATCTTTATCGATATTGGGGTTGTCGTAACGATTTTTGAAGATTTGTATCGAGTCTATTGTCCCCATTGATGTCCATTCAATGTTATCGATGAAGTATTCAATGTTCTGGGCGTAGTCCTCGATCTTCGAGTACTTCAGGAGTTTTGCTGTTACGCTGCGCAGCCATTCGAAAATTCTCATCCCCATCTGCTCCACTAGGTACATCACTGAGGGCTTCAGGAAGACCGGGAGAAACGAGTGCTTCATTGATGTGATGTGGGATATTATCACACCCCAGTTCTCCTTCTGGTGGAGCTCCGTTACGTATTGGATGAGAAGGAGTTGAAACTCTCCTGCGTGATCTTTTGTGAAGAAAGTTTTCATTTGTTGCAGGATTGAGGGCAATTTCCAGAGAGATGCTGAAATCTGCACCATTGCCAGACGTTCCAGCCGGAGGTGGAACTCGTAAGGGACCTCCATGGAATTTTTTGTCTCTGTAAATTTATTTTTTACCATTTTTTGAGGTTTTCCTCTGGAAAATTATTCCACCATTGAGTTTTTTTTCTTCTCAAATTTATCAATCGAATTCGTCATATTTTGTAAAAAATAATATTTCTATCTATTATGGCAAGAAAATGGACATTATTAGTCTAGGGAAGAGACAATTGTTAGGATTTATATATTATGCCAAATTAATGAAGTGCTTTTTTTAATGCTCTGGGGTTATAGGTTGTTATTCGTTAATATTAAAAGCAGTCCGAGAATTAATACGTACGATCAGTTATCCTTTGTTATTAAATTTCTTTGTTGAGATGTTTATCTGGTGTAATTATTGCAGTCAAGATCATATGATGGCATTGGTGTTGAAATAGCCGTTGACAATGGAATTCCAAAGTGAGGTTAATGGCTATTTTAGACGCTCCATGGAACTGACCACCGCAACGTTCGCTTTCGCTACCTCTGATAATTCGAAGATAAAACTGATTAGAAACCGATTAATAAAAGTTATAGATCCTAGTCAATCAGGCGGATAGATCTTTTTTCGAGATCGATATTTATCGTTATTTTCCAACTGTCAATCATTTTTCGCTGATTTTTGATGATCGAAAAATTCTAATTTAAATTACAGAAAAAGACGGTCTTCACGCTATTCCCATTTCCCCATGGGATGAAATCACGGTTGATTTGGGATCTGGTGAACTCCCAGGAGGCCTGGGACGTAGGGGAAACGTCTTTCGTGAACGGAACGTAATCTGTGAAGGAATCAATAGTGAAAATTGTGAAAATAAGAAAAACGTTGGTCCGACTTTTCCTCTGAGTGCAAGAGGATTTTTCCTGATTCATTATATATTAAATTTTCCTTAACCCAACTTCTTCATCTCTTCAAATTTCCTGGATTTCCCGGGCTGCATGCTCATTGGTGAACTTTCCCAGCACCTCTTCTAAAATCAGATAAACCTTCATCAATTACTATCCCTCAGATAATGAGACTGATGAATCTCAACGAATTAGCACCGAGCAATGAAAAATAAAGAATCAATTTCCATATTCGCGATAGACATTTGAAGTCAAAAAAGAAGTCGAAAATTCCCTCTCCTGGGATCCTTGGACCAATCAGGACTCACTCTTAAGCCGACTCTCGACCAATGGCATCTCCTTCGACTTTCAATACTCCGGTGTTTGCTGAAAAGAGGGGAAGCATTGGCGAGAAGTGACAAGTTGAATTTACCAGAGAGAAAATAATTTTTGTAGAAATCGAATCGTTGAAACGCATTGAAATATATCACCCATCATGGCCAGTGTCTCGTATCAAATAGCAAATCTGCTGGAGAAGGTAAGGAAAATCTGGTGAGAATTCTTATCCAGGGGAAGACTGAAATATCGAAAACTTCCTTTGTCTCCTCGGAGAGGTTTATCTCCTTCGGCATCGGATTAATTCGTAAACATAACCTCAATGTTCTGAAATTTGTGAAAGTTTAAGAGAGAGACCGGGAGGAACTGCCCCAGATGATCACAATGTTACAGAATGATTCATACAAAAAATCTTGAAGATCTGAATGCAATTCACAATTTAGTGGCCTTTTAATTTTAGGCACGACTCGTCGGGGATGAGTCTACCCTCAAGCCCTCATTTTCGATGACTCCCTTTTCCTCTATTTATCTGTCATGCTCTCGAATTTTTCCATATGATTCCTGAATTTAATTTCTCAATTGAAGTAATTGAAAAATTCTCATTTTTGCCTATTTCAAACCTTGACGAAAAAATCTTGACATTTCAAAATCAATTATTACTCAAATAATTCAGCATTCATTTAATTAACGTCGCATTAATTTTTATTCAAGTTATGAATAAAGATCTGAGATTGTGAAATAAATGTAGAAATATTCTCAGAATTTTGAGACATCCCTAAAAAGAAACAGACATTATTAAGATCGACGTGTGATCCTCACATCTTCTCCGGATTAATGAATCGCCCGGATGTTCCCCAGATGACATCGAACGACAAAGACTTTAGGTTCATGGCAACGAACGACCTGATGTCGGAGCTGCAGAAGGACTCGATCAAGTTGGACGATGACTCAGAGCGAAAAGTCGTGAAGATGCTTCTGCGCTTGCTAGAGGACAAGAACGGTGAGGTTCAGAATTTAGCAGTAAAATGTCTGGGTCCTCTGGTGAACAAAGTGAAAGAGTATCAAGTAGAAACAATAGTCGACGCTCTGTGTACCAACATGATATCCGACAAGGAGCAATTACGAGACATCTCGAGCATTGGTCTGAAGACAGTGATCTCCGAGCTGCCAATGGGTTCAAACGATCTCGCTGAGAATATATGTAAACGCATAACAGGTCGACTGTCCTCAGCCATAGAAAAACAAGAGGACGTTTCAGTCCAGCTGGAGGCCTTGGACATTGTGGCGGACCTTCTCTCTCGCTTTGGCTCTCTCCTCGTGAGTTTTCATCAGCAGATTCTCACAGCTCTTCTTCCCCAACTGTCATCACCTCGTCAGGCAGTGAGAAAACGAACAATTGTTGCCCTCAGCCACCTGCTCACCTCGAGCAACAATTATCTCTACAAGAAACTACTGGATCACCTGCTGGAAGGTCTGACAACTCAAAAAGTTAAGAACGTTATTCGTACGTATATCCAGTGCATTGCGTCGATCTGTCGTCAAGCTGGACACAGATTTGGTGAGCAGATTGAGAGAGTAATGCCTCTGATTGTTCAGTACTCAAACGAGGACGACGATGAGCTCAGGGAGTACTGCCTCCAGGCATTCGAGGCATTTGTCTACCGTTGTCCCAAGGAGATCACTCCTCACATCAATAAAATCATCAATATCTGCCTGACGTACATCACTTATGACCCAAATTACAATTACGACGATGATGTCAGTGATTTATCCGATGGAGAAGGTATCACCATGGAGACGGAAGAGGACGGTGAGGAGGATGGGGAGGAGGAGTACTCGGACGACGACGACATGAGCTGGAAAGTCCGAAGGGCAGCAGCCAAGTGTCTGGAGGCTGTGGTATCAAGCAGAAGAGAACTCCTACCAGAACTCTACAAAATTGTCTCACCAGCTCTGATAGCGAGGTTCAAAGAACGCGAGGAGAACGTTAAATCAGATATTTTTCACGCTTATATCGCTCTCCTGCGTCAAACAAGGCCGACATCGAGTGTGGCACTTGATCCAGACTCCATGGAGGACGAGGAGTGCCCAATATCCCTTCTACAACAGCAGGTACCTATGATTGTCAAGGCTGTTCATCGACAGATGAAGGAGAAGAGCATTAAAACACGTCAGGATTGTTTCTCATTGCTCAAGGAACTTGTCCTTGTTCTGCCAGGTGCTCTGACAAATCACATTCCCTCACTGATACCTGGGATTCAGTACTCGTTAGGAGAGAAGAATTCCTCATCCAATATGAAAATTGATACCCTAGCCTTTGTTCACACTCTCCTGATTACCCACCAGGCAGAGGCTTTTCACGCCCACATGACTGTCCTTGCACCACCAATAATATCAGCAGTCTCTGATGCTTTCTACAAAATCACAGCTGAAGCTCTTCTCGTTCTTCAGCAGCTGGTGCAGGTGATAAGACCCCACGAAAATCCACCCAACTATGACTTCACTAATCTCGTCAGTGAGATATACAGGTGCACCCTTATGAGACTGAGAACAGCTGATATAGATCAGGAGGTGAAGGAACGAGCTATTGCCTGTATGGGACAAATTCTGGCTCATCTCAGTGACACTCTGCACGATGAACTTCCAGTTTGTCTTCCAATATTCCTGGACAGACTGAGAAATGAAATCACCAGGCTGACGACAGTCAAAGCCCTAACGTGCATTGCCGCATCTCCACTGAGAGTCGATCTTCAACCAATTATGAAAGAGGCTGTACCCATTTTGGGCTCTTTCCTCAGGAAAAATCATAGGGCACTGAAACTTTGCTCTCTCACACTTCTCGATACACTGGTGAGGAGTTACTCTGTCAGCCTTCACACTGATCTACTGGACAAGGTGACGACAGAGCTTCCAGCACTTCTCAATGAGTCTGATCTCCACATTGCACAGCTGACGCTGACTCTGTTGACGACAATAGCAAAGGTCCATCCAGCAGCATTGACAAGAATATCAGAGACTATTTTACCAGAGATTCTTGTTCTTGTTAAGTCTCCACTACTCCAGGGAGCTGCATTGAATGCCATGCTGGAGTTTTTTCAGGCTCTTGTTCAGGCTGGAATTCCAGGGCTGGGTTACAGAGACCTTCTGGCGATGCTCGTGGCACCAGTTACAAGCTCTGTTCTGCATAAACAGGCGTATCACTCACTTGCCAAATGTGCAGCTGCCCTGACAATCACTTGGCAGCAAGAAGCACATGGAGTTGTCGAGCAATTCATAAAAAACGTTCAGGATCCAGCCTCTGATTCACAACATATTTTTGCTCTGCTGGTGATTGGGGAGATCGGTAAACACGTGGATCTCAGTGGAATTCAGTCACTCAAGAGTGTTATCTTGAGCTCTTTCTCTTCGCACTCTGAGGAGGTCAAGTCCGCTGCCAGTTACACTCTCGGAAATATTGCTGTTGGCAATCTTCCCGAGTATCTTCCCTTCATCCTGAAGGAGATCGAAGGCCAGCCAAAAAGACAATACCTCGTGCTTCACTCGCTGAAGGAGATCATCACTTGTCAATCGAGCAGCCCATCTGGGGTATCCAATCTTCAGAATTTTGTCCCTGCCATCTGGACTCTACTCTACAGGCACTGCGAGTGCACTGAAGAGGGCACTAGAAATGTTGTGGCCGAGTGCCTTGGTAAACTCACCCTCATAGATCCAGCTAATCTTCTACCCAAGCTCCAGGAGTCCCTGAAATCACAGTCATCACTCATGAGAACGACAACAGTTACTGCAGTAAAGTTCACTATTTCTGATCAACCACAGGCCATTGACGTCATGTTGAAACAGTGCATGGGAAGCTTTCTGGTGGCTCTTGAAGATCCTGATCTGAACGTCAGGAGGGTTGCTCTTGTTGCTTTTAATTCAGCTGCTCATAATAAACCCATGCTCATCAGAGATCTCCTGGACTCTGTCCTGCCTAAACTTTATGCTGAAACCAAGATCAAGGTGAAATATTTTTCTGTTCAATGGGCCACGAGATGGATTTCTTAATGCGATTCCTCTGGTATTTATGGAATTTTTTTTCTATTGTAGAAAGAGCTGATAAGAGAAGTTGAGATGGGGCCGTTCAAGCACACAGTGGACGATGGACTGGACCTTCGAAAAGCAGCATTTGAATGCATGTACACATTACTGGACTCGTGTCTTGACAGGCTGGACGTGTTTGAGTTCCTCCAGCACGTGGAGAACGGTCTGAAGGATCACTACGATATAAAAATGCTGACGTACCTCATGACTGCGAGATTGGCGCAGCTCTGTCCCACAGCAGTCCTCCAGAGTACGTTAATTCAACTCCATATTCATCAATTTAAATTTATTGAGAGAGTCAATGAATAAATTGAGTAACTGGGGTAAAGCGAGCTAATTAAAGCCGATGTAATTCATAAGGACTAATGAATTTCCTTTTTCGTGGTTTCGTCAGGGCTCGATAGACTGGTGGATCCATTGAAGATGACTTGTACCCAAAAAGTGAAAGCGAATTCCGTGAAACAGGAGTACGAGAAACAGGATGAACTCAAGAGATCTGCACTGAGGGCAGTTGCTGCACTTTTGACGATTCCAGATGCTGGTAATTACTATTTATTGTTTTAATTATTTTGGCAAATGAATTTTGATGAATCAATTTGTCAATCGATGATTTTTTTTCTTTCAGATAAAAATCCAGCGTTAACAGATTTCGTCAGTATAATAAAATCAACTCCAGAGTTGCGTAGTTTATTCGATACTATTCAGAAAGATTGCTCAGGTAGCAACATCAACGAAGCGAACATCATGGATCAAAGTTAAATGGAGAGAAGCCTCAGAATAATTTAAAAAAAAGCCCACAAAATACGAATTACAACCAACGTCATTCATCCAATAAAGTGATACGAATTTTTGTTTTATTAACTAATATATATTATTATTTGTGTGATTGGAATTTTCTGAGGATCGATTTCAACGAGTCCTGTCTTGTCCCACAGGACAGCCCAGAGATGCATTCATGGAACATCCGGTTTCATACGTTATTATTTTTTCATTGGTTTTTTTCTCGTCACATAGTAGCTTGGACAAGTGGAAGGAACGAAATTCAATGTGATTGTCATGTAGCGGTCAGAAAAGGCATTGTATAAAAAAATAAAATACAAATTTCTTTAAAAGTTAATTTTCTCACTTTCTTCCCAGTAGACAGCCCAGTTTTTCGCCGATATCTCAGAATCGAAGACATATAGCGCATTTTTTATTTAGATATCGTTTATAGGAACGGAGGAGAGCTACAAAAAAGATCGTTATAAAAAAATCGGTATTTTCCTTCGATTTCGAGATATTGGGAAAAAACTGGTGTTGAAAAAAATTTACTTATCGAAAGAATTTTGCATGACACTTACCAGAATCAATTGCACGATAAAATGTCCTTCGTTTGAATGACAACTAGAGAATAAGATTGAAATGGTCATTCACCTACTCAGTGTCAAGGCTACTCGATAATTTTGAGTGCACGTCGGACGTAAAGTGACACAAATCGATCTTCATATATGGTCCCCCACATTTACTCCACCCAAAATTGTTTTTATGCATTGACTAAATAGTTGGGTCCTGCTGGCCCACAGGGGTCAAATGAATTGATTCGAATGCCATTGAATGACTCAATGAAAATCAAATTTCGTGGCCATCCTAATGTACGTGTAAAAAAATACCGATGAGGCATTCGAATTTTTAATTCACTCATTAATTACTTTCTCATTAGGTTTACCGCCGGTTTTCCCCGGTGAAATCGTTCGAGCAAAAATCGTGATCAATCCCTCATTATTTATATATACACCACGATAAATTCGCAAATTTAATGTTAGATCATAAATTCGGGGGAAATTATCTCTCGTTCTTTCATCCACGTGTTATGGTCCCGACTGTCGTCTTTACCTTTTTTATCGCTGTTGTAAAATCATAAAATCGTCAACCCTAACTCATTGATGGATTAAAAACAAGAGATCGGTAGACGTCAGAAAATGTCGCCATTGCTTAAATAAGGTATAGAAATTAGAAGAATAGATAAATTATCTCCACGTGTGTCGAAAATTGTGAAGATCACGCAAATGGACTGTGATCGGTTCGAAATTCCACTATATTGCGGAAATTAGACGCAGATTTGAATTTATTCATCCACAATCCGGGATTTCCGTGAATATTTTCGCTATCTCACAACTGATTCTATTTTGGTCGTCTCCCTTCCTTTTCTCGTAAAATTTATTGAATGACATGTGGCCCTAAAGACGCCCCAAAGGGTTCAAACAGGTTTTTTGGGCCCCTTGCGGTCATGGGCCTCGGGCCGTGAATTTACTCCTCCGAAAGATTAAATCGCTCTCATTGTTTTGCTCTGACAATCAAAACCTTTTATGAATTTCTACTTGAGATAATTTCCGAAAATTCAGGTGATCCATCAGCCCTTCTGAATAATTCAGCCATTTTTAATGCCCTTAATCAGTAAAACGAAGAAGAGGGTGTAGATAAAGGATGAGTGATGAATTTTTGTCAAGGGGTTGAAAAATCGTTCAAATCTACAGCTGAATATTTTTTTTATCGGTATCGGACTTGTTTTTTTTTTCAAAGGCAGTCGTCGAAGAATTGTTGTATACTCTATAATTAATTATTTAAATAATTTACTTTTTTCTCTTCTTCGTAAGATATGAAATATAAATTAAATAAATAAAATATGATTATTGTTCACCAGCTGATGAAAAGTCTGGGGGGTATCTTGGAGATTGTACCAATAAGGAATTGAATCCTAGGAATAAATTTCTCAGACTGAAATTTCGTGTGAAATCCGAAAACCTGATGTTCAGCACGTACATCGTAATTTTATGAGCTTCTCCATGTCCTTGGAATGAGGAGCAGATTAATAGTTTCTAGAGATTTTATCCTCCGGTTATTCTACGAAATATGTCCAGGGGATTCTGTGTCGAATCGGCCGAACACTGACCCCTATCCTCTGAAAAAATTGAGAAGAATTGAATCCACGATTGACCGTAGAAAAATTCTTCACGAAAAATCTAGTCCTTCTTTCAAAAAAAAATATCCAAAGTCTCTCCAAAAATCGGTGAAACCTTTTCTGTTACCGATGTCTTTCGTCATCTCCTGTTCATGGAATTGCTGATCTCTCATTTCTTTTTTTTTAATTAAAAATAATGAATATCTCTCAATAATTCCGCAGTGAAGTGGTAAATTGAAACAAGTGCATTTTTTCAGTGACGGTTTTTAGCCGATATCTCGGAATAGAAGAAAAATAGCCGATTTTTTATTGAAATATTTTTTATAGAAAATGATAAGAGTTACAAAAAAGGTGTCTATGAAAAAATCGTTATCTTCCTTCATCTTCGAGATATCGGCTAAAATCGATCTCGAAAAAAATGCACTTGTCCTAGTTCACCACTTTGTTACAGAGTAGATCATTTTTAAATCTCCACACAAAATTTTAATAAAGGAAATACACTTCCTTTTTTTATGATCCAATCGTTGTCTCTTCGAAATAATATTTTTCGGCATTCTTAAATTAATTACTGTGTCCCACAAAAATAGAGAAACATGAATTCTGACACGTACATTATATTTAGGTCCCATAAAAGTTTATTACGATGTCTAATCACAATTGATTCTGTACCTATTGTCTACAATGAAAAAAACAACGTAATTACTTTGAAAAATGATAATCTAATGGATTTCATTAATGCTTTGTACCCAATTTTGAAAAATCAGGTAAAAATCGGGTGGAGCTTGTTTCACCGTCATTTTACCGTCGAGATTTGGAGAATTGTTCCACCGAATGAACAATGAACAGAGAATTCAATAAACAATTTTTCAAGGGATCTGCGGAGATTTTTACGTCATTTTAATTGGCTGTGCATAATTATCTAATGAACCTTGACGTAATTTCCACATAGGGAGACACAAGTGAGACAGAAGAGATCATTTTTTACTTCCGCATTTTTCATTACGAGAAAACTGAATTTCCACTGATAATATTCGCCCTTCAACATAACTGCAACATTCATAAAAAATTTTGTTGTCAATGGATTCATTGATTCAAGTGCTTCAGATCGAGAAATAATTTATTTCAATCAGATAAATAAATTTATGTAAATATTACAACCTAGATAATCAGAGAATCCCCCAAATATTTGTTTACAATTTTTTCTGCTGGATCCATTCGACAGGAAAACTTCTCTGAATTTTTAATTATTTAACATGCGGATGAATTAATTGAAAATTCAATTGCATTTGATATTGAGTATTTGAAATAATTCTGAAAACGCAGAGGACGTTGTGCCTGAATTTTTTAATATCGAATTGATGAATGAAGAATTATAAAAAAATCTGCAATTGACTACCCCAATTAAATCCATCATCCCCCGCCAAAGATATTCTCCCACCCACAACCTCCCACTCACACCAGAAATCAAAGTGGAGGTGACTATAAATACAGTCGGTTAGCAAAGACCACTGCCACAGTGCACTTCAGGTCTGAGACCAAAAAAGTTTCACATTGAAAAATCGAAAAGGCCCAATTCGACCCATCGAGACTCACAACTGAGTAACAAAAAAGAAAAAAAAATTAAACATTAAAAAAACGAATTGAAAAATCAAAATCCCGTCATCCCACGATCGACTGAGGAAACCAATTAAATAATTATTTTAAAAAATAATTTATAAAATGTGTGTACGTACGTTAATATCGAACGAGGTGACAGAGGCTCCAATGTGTCCTGTCAGTAAATTCACTAAAGCAAAGGTGAAGTACATGAAGGTGCACGATGAAATTATCCAAAAGGAGAAATTGCAAATTGCACAAGTGACTGACAAAGTACTGGAGACAGGGACATATTCATCGGGAATTACTCCTGACATTCTAGCTGAGAGCACGACTATCTTCCGAAAGTGTCTGGAGATCGTGGAGCGACAGGTGGACACGTGGAAGGATTCCAAGACCTACAAGTGAGTTCTTAATTAATTAGAAAAAAATTAATTAATTCATTTATCACTATAGGAAAAATATCCTCATGACAAAACCGCTGAGACAATTAGTATTAACCGATTCAATACCCAATAAGTGATTAATCAATATCAAATTAATTTCAATGTCAACTCATAATGACTTTATCCATAAAACATTCGATTTTTCTCTCTAATTGATCCATTACCTTTTTATTTAAAAAATTGTTTTTAGTTATTTACTGTCACTCATTTCTGAAGCTTCGGTTACTGAAAAAATCTTGGGATTCGTGAGGAATTTTATGAAGACATTGAAAAAACTCAGGAGTCCCAGATGAATTCGAATTGTCAATAAAAAGATGATGAGTCCCCGAAAAAAGAGACACTTGACGCAGTGGGAAAGATAGACAACTAGTTTAAAAGTCATTTGATTTTCTGAAAGCACACTAATGAGATTTACGATTGGAAAATCGATCGATGAGGCCTCTGATTACTTAATGAATGATTTAAAAAAGTGGAAATGAAATCTTCGAAGGACCGGCGCGTCATTAATCAAATTCTGAAATTGGGACAGCGGACGATAATCCAAACCCGTTTCCCCGCATTCTTTCTGTTCATTTTATTGCACTTTTTATTGACTTCTGGTCGTCCCTTAATCTCGCTGAAAGTCACGTACGCCAGTCGATTTATCCCATCCCCCGTTTGCATTCTATCCATCGGCGTGAATTAAAAGGAGTGAGAGGTGACCCCGTCGGGTTAACCAGTGCATTTATAACTCAGAACTCGATAGAGTCATAAAGCAAAATCATTTCTCATTTTTCTGACCAAATTCTCTTCTTCTTCTCCTGTGCAACTCAGAAAATTGATATTTTTGCTAACGAATCCAGCAGCGAATTTGGATGAGTGCATTTTTTTCAACGCCAGTTTCTCGTGAATATCCCGGAATTGGGGGGACATAGCGATTTTTTTGTGGAAACGTTTTCTCGAGATAAAAACTAGAGCTACAAAAAAGGTATCTGTGAAAATATCGGTATTTTCCTTCTATTTTGAGATATTGGTTACCAACTGGTCTCGAAATAAATGCACTTATTCTAGTTTAACACTTTGCAATGAGATTGGAGAATCGAATCCATCGTTTGTGTAATTTTTTAAATTTTTACTGAAAATTATTTAGAACGTTTGACATGTGACATGGGAGTATGATATTTCGAGTGAATTTGTCCGCGGATTTTTTTTTTATTTTCAAGAAAAGACAGCATAAAAAATCAAGGAGTGGAATTCGCACTAAATATTTTAAATTTTGGGAGATAATCGAAACTTTTTCGCGCATATCTGAGTGAAAAAAATTAATTAAAAATCCTTCATCTCATCCATTAATTTATTAATTTTCAATAACTAAAAATTCCACATTCATGAGGCCTCACCTCTAATTAATTTATCACTATTACCATTAAAACATAATCCCACACATTAAATAATCATTTTCAAAAAAGTGATATTTTTCCGCTCTAATATGGATCCTTATCTAATCAATGAAAAATAAATAATTCAAAATAGAGTCCTGAGTGAGCGCCGAAAATTCACTGACTTGTTGAATTTTATTCACGGCCTGTGAATAATTGTTGTTAAATTATTTATCGAGT